CAAAACACACACACACACACACACACACACACACACACACACACACACTCACTCACTCTCTCTCTCTCTCTCTCACACACACACACACACACACACACACACACACACACACACACACACACACACACAGAGAAAACTGAGGCATGAGAATTGCTAGAGGTTGTAGTGAGCCCGGATTGCACCACTGCACTCCAGCCTCGACAACAGAGCGAGACCCTGTCTGAAAAACAACAAAAAAAAAAAGAGAAATGCTCATTGACCTGATGCTCTGCCCCCCCCAGATCCAGCTGAGGCCCTGCAGCTCCCAATGGACTACGTCCAGCGGGTCAAGCGGACCCACTCTCAGGGCGGCTACGGCTCACAGGGGTGAGGCAGGACTCACCTGGTGTGGAGGGGAAGGAGGATGGGGACCCCTAGGCTATTGCATGGACTTCCCACCTTCCCTTCTGAAGGTACAAGTATAACTGGAAGCTGGACGAGGCCCGGAAAAACCTACTGCGCACCCATACCACATCAGCCAGTGCCCGTGTGCTCTACCGCCTTGCTCAGAAGGTACAGTTGGCCCAGGTCGGGGGCAGAGTGGGGAGAGGGTTCTTTCAAAGGGACCTTCTGACCCATGCCCGAGCCTGGCTCAACTGTCACCCCTAGAAACCCTTCACGCCAGCCAAGTACTTCTCCATTGACCGAGTATTCCGGAACGAGACCCTGGATGCCACACACCTGGCTGAGTTCCACCAGATCGAGGGCGTGGTGGCAGATCACGGCCTCACCCTAGGCCACCTCATGGGCGTTCTTCGGGAGTTCTTCACCAAGCTGGGTGAGCAGGTGGGCAGGGGTGGGCGGTGGTGGTGCGGCAGTGGGCGGGCGTGTTGGTCACCAGCATTACCCTCCAATCCCCTGCTCGCCTGCCCGCCCCGCTCCCTGCAGGTATCACCCAGCTCCGCTTCAAGCCAGCCTACAACCCATACACGGAGCCCAGCATGGAGGTGTTCAGCTACCACCCAGGTCAGGGTGGGCCCTGGTACTGACATGGGGAGGGAGCTCTCAGGCTACCGTGGTTCAGCCCAGGTCCCCCCACTGCCAAGCCGATAACCCACCTTCCAAGCTCACCACCAGACCCAGAACCTGTACCAGCAGTGCCCAGAAACTCACATGCACTGGCCCTGTCTTCCCTATCCCACGCCTGCAGGCCTGAAGAAGTGGGTGGAGGTTGGAAACTCAGGGGTGTTCCGTCCGGAAATGCTGCTGCCCATGGGGCTTCCCGAGAATGTGTCAGTCATTGCCTGGGGCCTCTCCCTGGAGCGGTAAGTGCCCAGGCGGGAACTTGGGGCGTCCAGCTGCCTCTGACCACTCTCTAGGCATACAGATCTGCATGGTTTCAGCACTACCCATTCATTCATTCAGTGTACAAAACGTTGTTTTTTTTTTGAGACAGAGTCTTGCTCTGTCACCCAGGTTCGTGCCAGTGGCACGAACTCGATTCACTGCAGCCTCTGCCTCCTGGGTTCAAGCAATTCTCCTGCTTCAACCTCCCAAGTAGCTGGGCTTACAGGCGCCCACCACCCCGCCCAGCTAATTTTTGTATTTTTAGTAGAGACAGCGTTTCACTGTGTTGGCCAGGCTGATCTCAAACTCCTGACCTCGTGATCTGCCCACCTTGGCCTCCCAAAGTGCTGGGATTACAGGTGTGAGCCACTGTGCCCAGCCACAAAACTTTCACAGTAAGCACAAACTGAATGTGCTGTGAACATGACAGGTCACATCACTGCCTGTGTGAATCGGGGGTCCCAGTGGAGTGAGAATGGTAACTAGCGAGACCAGTAAGTACATCAGGCCAGGCATGGTAGCTCACACCTGTCATCCCAGTGCTGTGGGAGGCCAAGGCAGGAGGATCGCCTGAGCCAGGAGTTTAAGATCAGCCTGGGTAATAGAGCAAGTCTCTGTCTCTACAAAAAATAAAAACAGGCCAGGCATGGTGGCACATGCCTGTAATCCCAGCACTTTCGGTGGCCATGGCAGGTGCATCACCTGAGATCAGGAGTTTGAGACCAGCCTGGCCAACATGGTGAAACCCTGTCTGTACCAAAAGTACAAAAATTAGCCAGGTGCAGTGGCAGGTGCCTGTAATCCCAGCAACTTTGGAGGCTGAGGCAGAATTGCTTGAACCCAGGACCACTGCACTCCAGCCTGGGCAACAGAGCAAGACTGTGTCTCGAAAAAAAAAGACCAAGCACAGTAGCTCATGACTGTATTTCTAGCACTTTGGGAGGCCGAGGTGGGCAGATCACCTGATGTCAGGAGTTTGAGACCAGCCTGCCCAACATGGCAAAATCCCATCTCTACTAATAATACAAAAAAATAGCTGGGCGTGGTGGTGGGTGCTTGTAATCCCAGCTACTCAGGAGACTGAGCCAGGAGAATTGCTTGAATCAGGAGGCGGAGGTTGCGGTGAGCCAAGATCGGGCCACTGCACTCCAGCCTGGTGACAGAGTGAGACTCCGTCTCAAAACAAAAAACAAATGCACTCAACAAAGACAAAAATCTGTACTGGGACAGTAAGTGATAATATGGAGGTCTAGGGCAACTACTTGGTCAGGGAAGGTGTCAGGGAAGAAGTGCCATCATAGCAAAACCTGGAGGTGGATGAAGGGGTGAAACGTGAGCATATCTGGGGAAGGGTGTTCCAGGTAGCAGTCACAGCCAGTACAAAGGCCCCGAGGTGGGCATGTGCCTTGTGTATTGGGAGAGGGAGGAGGCCAGTGTGGCTGAGGGTGGAGAGTGAGAGGAGGTGATAGGGCAGACGGCACAGGGCCCTGTGGGTCATGGAGAGAACTTGAGCTTTTCCTCTGAAGAAGATGGGAGCCATGGAAAACTAAGCAGAAGAGCACATGTGCTGACCTCATGGTAAACTCTCTTCCCTCCCCCATAAGCCCAACGATGATCAAATATGGCATCAACAACATCCGGGAGCTGGTGGGCCACAAGGTGAACCTGCAGATGGTGTACAACAGTCCCCTATGCCGCCTGGATGCCAAGCCGAGGCCCCCTCCCACACAGGAGGCTGCGTGACATGAACCACTCCAGGACACCTCGCCCTCCCTGAGTCCCTGCTGCCCCGCTCCTTTGCATCCCTGGGCCAGTGACCTTGTATTTATGAGGCCTCTGTGAGGCCAGCCCCACCTTCCTCTTTCCCACCCATCCCAGGGCCAGATCCCAGGGACAAGAGGACAGAGTAGCAGGTTCCTTCTGTTGTCCTGTATGGTGTGTCCACTGTGAGGGTGGGCCCTGGGGAGACCTGTGGGCCACCTACTGTCTAATAAAGTGGGCAGTTGCCCCCATCTGGTGTCTTGGGGTGAGGGGTCTTGTTGGGTCCCCCTAGCTCAGTGTGCCACTTGATGGTCAAAACTCTGGGTACTGGGCTGGGCGCAGTGACTTATGCTTCTAATCACAGAGCTGTGGGAGGCTGAGGTGGGTGGATCACTTGAGGTCAGGAGTTCCAAGACCAGCCTGGCCAACATGGTGAAACGTTCTGTCTCTACTAAAAATACAAATGTTAGCCACGCATGGTAGTGGGTACCTGCAGTCCGAGCTACTTGGGAGGCTGAGGTGGGAGAATCGCTTGAACCCAGAGGCGGAGGTTACAGGGAGCTGAGATCACGCCATTGCACACCAGCCTGGGCCACAGAGTGTGACCTGTCTCAAACAAAACTTGGCTCAGCATGGTGGCTCATGTAATTCTAAATACTCCAGAGACTGAAGTGGATCACTTGCGCTTGGGAGGTTGAGGCTGCAATGAATGGTGATCACACCACTGCATTCCAGCCTGGGCAACAGTGAGACCCTGTCATTAAATACATACTTATGTGTCTAAATAAACACAAGTACCCTGGAATCTGTTACCATGTCTATCAAACCTGAACCTTGGCTGTGTAGGGATGAAGAGCAAGCTTCCTTATTGCCCTCTGAAGTTTCACTGAAAATCACTGACAAAAGGCAGATTAATAAAGACAAAAGATATACAAATTTATTTGATCATAGTATCACCTGACAAGCGTTCAGAATCAAGACCCAGAGATATAAGGAAAACTCTTTTTGTTTTTTGTGGGTTTTTTTTTTTTTTTTTTTTTTTGAGATGGAATAAGGCTGTTGCCTGGGCTGGAGGGCAGGGGCAACCTCAGCTCACTGCAACCCCTGGGTTCAAGGGATTCTCCTGCCTCAGCTTCCCAAGTAGCTGGGATTATAGGTGCCTGCCACCACATCTGACTAATGAAAAGCGTCTATTTTTATGCTTAGGTTCAACAAACTTTGAACACCCAGGTAGAAAACTGATTGGACAAAAAAGGGTTTGTCACGGTTCATGCCTGTAATCTCAATAGTTTGGGAGGCTGAGGCAGGTGGATCACTGAGGCCAAGAGTTTGAGACCAGCCTGGGCGGCATGGAAAAACCTCATCTCTACTAAAGATACAAAAATTAGGTGGGGATGTGGTCCATCTGTAATCCCAGCTACCCGGCTGGCTGAGAATCACTTGGACCTGGGATGGCAAGGTTGCGGTGAGTCAAGATCTTATTACTGCACTCCACTGTTGCTTGGAGAACAGAGCAAGATTTAAGAGTCAGGGGTGGTTGTCTAATACCAATAGGCTGAGTAGAGAAACCCAGCAAGGCCTGTGTGTCTAGATTCTTCTTGGAATATAAGGAATGCATGGTCAGAGAAGCCAAGAATCTAGATAGACAGGCCTTGTGTGGGGCAGAAACTTCTTTGACACAGGGGTCTTATGACCTAGAGTCAACAGGGTAGGTCAGATAATTTCTTTTTTTTTTTGAGACAGTACTTTGGAAAGCCAAGGCAGGAAGATTGCTTGAGCCTGGTAGTTTGGGATCAGCCTGGCCTCCGCACAGAAAGATTTCATTTCTACAGAAAATATATATATATTTTGAGACAGAGGAGTCTTGCTCTATCACCCAGGCTGGAATGCAGTGGTGTGATCTCAGCTCACTGCGACCTCCGCCTCCCAGGTTCAAGTGATTCTCCTGCCTCAGCCTCCTAAGTAGCTGGGACTACAGATATGTGCTACCACACCCAGCTAATTTTTGTAGTTTTAGTAGAGACAGGTTTTGCCATGTTGGCCAGGCTGGTCTTGAACTCCTGGCCTCAGGTGATCCACCCGCCTCAGCCTCCCAAAGTGATGGGATTACAGGTGCGAGCCACTGCACGCACCAGAAAAATATTTTTAAATTAGAAAGGCATGGTGGATGACACTGGTAGTCCCAACTACTCAGGAGGCTGAGGCAGGGGGATCGCTTGAACCTGGGGGAGGTAGAGGCTGCAGTGAGCTTGATCGCACCACAGCATTCCAGCCGGAGCGACGGGCAAGACCTTGTCTAAAAAAAAAAAAATTTTTGCCAGGCGTGGTGGCTCATGCCTGTAATCCCAGCACTTTGGGAGGCCGAGGTGGGCAAATCACGAGGTGAAGAGATCGAGACCATCTGGCCAACATGGTGAAACCCCGTCTCTACTAAAAATACAAAAATTAGCCAGGGATGGTGGCACGCGCCTCTGGTCCCAGCTACTCGGGAGGCTGAGGCGGAAGAATCGCTTGAACCCAGGAGGTGGAGGTTGCAGTGAGCCGAGACTGCCCCACTGCACTCCAGCCTGGCGATAGAGCAAGACTCCGTCTTAAAAAAAAAAAAAAAAAAAAAGACTTTGTTACTGAGAATATTTCCCAAGGCAGAACGCGTAAAGTTAGACAGAGCGGATAAGGTACAGAATAAATACAGGACTGTCTGAGATACCTATAACCCGGGCGCTGCATGGGACGCTGAAGCCTCCCACAGCCACACACGGGTGGCCAAACGCGCACGCGTAGCCTACCCTCCTGTTCTGCGGCAGTGCCTGCGCGCGCTGCCCCTGGACCGCCAAACCGCCGCTTAACGGTCGGCCCCGCCCGGCGGGTTGCAGAGTTCTCAAGGGGGCGGGGCTCGGGGTACACCCCAGGACACAAGCGCGAGAGCAGAGCTCAGCAGGGGCGGGGCCGGCGCATGCGCAAAGCGTGCCAGTTAGAAGGCGGGAAAAGACAGAATGGAGCGACAGGGAGTACGCTACGCTTGTTTCCCTCGCGCGCGTGGGGCGGGCGGACAAGTGGGCAGAGAACGGCTGCGATCCCAGCCTTCTCCAGCGGACCCAAACCCGGCCACTTGTCTTTTGCCATCGAGGCTGCCTCTCATCAGGCCTGGCCCCAAGTTTCCTGACTGAACCTGGCCCTGACTGACGCCCTGACAGTCTGATTTCCACACACGGCGCGTGGCCTGAGCGGAGTAGAGAAAGGCACAGACATCCACGCACCGTGCCCGGCTTTCTTTTTTTTTTTGAGACGGAGTTTCGCTCTATCGTCCAGTAGGGAATGTAGTGGTGGGATCTTGGCTCACTGCAACCTCCGCCTCCTGGGTTCAAGCAATTCTCCTGCCTCAGCCTCCCGAGTAGCTGGGATTACAGGTGCCCACAACCACACCAAGCTAATTTTTGTATTTTTAGTAGAGACGGAGTTTTACCATATTGGCCAGGTTGGTCTCGAACCTCTGACCTCGTGATCTGCCTGCCTTGGCCTCCCAAAGTGCTGGATTACAGGCGTGAGCCACCTCGCCAGCCTCATGTCTTTTCTTTTGTTTTTTTGATTCAGAATCTTGCTCTGTCACCCAGGATGGAGTGCAGTGGCCTGATCTCTGCTCACTGCAACTTCTGTCTCCTGGGTTCAAGCGGTTCTCTTGCCTCAGCCTCCCAAGTAGCTGGACTTACAGGCATGTGTTACTATGCCTGGCTAATTTTTATATTTAATAGAGAGACGGGGTTTGAACATGTTGGCCAGGCTGATCTCGAACTCTTGACCTCACAATCTGCCTGCCTCAGCCTCTCAGCGTGCTGGGATTACAGCATGGACCACCTCGCCCTGCCCCGACTTCATTTCTTTTCTGCCACCGCTTTCTCAAAGGACTCCAGCCGACACACATACCAGTTAGGAGCCCAGGCCCCCCAGTTCTGCTCCCACAGCCCTGCCTGCACCCAGCCCCTCCAGGTCTGGTGTCCAGGCGTTCCCCAGGGACAGAGGGTCCTTTCACCCCACGCTCCTATTCTCATGGCACCACCGCAGCCTTCCCCATCTCTCCTTTGGGTCCCCACCGTCCCACAGTGGTACATCAAGGTGCCCAGGAGGGTGATCTGTTCACTCCTCATCCCCCCTCCTGACTGTGCTCGCAGGTGGACATGCCCCATGTAAAGTGCAAAGACCAGGAGCCACAGCCCTTGGGGGAGAGCAAGGCGCATCAGCAGTTCAAGGAGAACCGTGAGGAGGAAGCTGGTAGAGGGCCAGATAGGTGAGGAAGATCCTGTCCCAATGGGTCCACATGGGCCCCTGGGTCCTTCTTGTTCACCCTTTTCTTCCCCAAGGTTCTGCCAGTGTTTACTTTTTTTTTTTTCTTCCTGACACAGCATCTTGCTTTGTCACTATGCAGTGGCACGATCATGGCTCACTGCAGCTTCCACCTCCCAGACTCAAGTAATCCTCTCACCTCAGCATCCCAAATAGCTGGGACTACAGGTATGCCAGAACGTCCAGCTAATTTGTTAAAAAATATTTAGGCCAGGCATGGTGGCTCATGCCTGTAATCCCAGCACTTTGGGAGGCCAAGGTGAGTGGATCACTTGAGGCCAAGAGTTCAAGACCAGCCTGGCCAACATGGCCATCTCTACTGAAAATACAAAAAATTAGCCAGGTGTGGTGGGGGCGCCTGTAATCCCAGCTACTTGGGAGGCTGAGGCAGGAGAATTGCTTGAACCCAGGAGGGAGAGGTTGCAGTGAGCTAAGAGTGTATCATTGCACTCCAAGCTGGGCGACAGAGTGAGACTGTCTCTCAAAAAAAAAAAAAAAAAATTTCTGTAGCCTGGGCACGGCAGCGCACTCCTGTAATTCCAGCACTTTGGGAGGCTGAGATGGGTGGATCACAAGGTCAGGCGTTTGAGAACAGTCTGGTTAACATGGTGAAATCCCAAAATCCCATCTCTACTGAAAATACAAAAATTAGCTGGGCATGGTGGAGTGCTCCTGTAATCCCAGATACTTGGGAGGCTGAGGCAGGAGAATTGCTTGAACCTGGCAGGTGGAGCTTGCAGTAAGCAAGAGATTGTGCCACTGCACTCCAGCCTGGCAACGGAGCAAGACTCTGTCTCAAAAAATATATACATATTTAGTAGAGGATGGGTGCGGTAGCTCATGACTGTAATCCCAGCACTTTGGGAGGCTGAGGTGAATGGATCACTTGAGGTTGGGAGTTCAAGACCAGACTGGCCAACATGACAAAACTTCATCTCTACTAAAAATACAAAATTAGCCGGATGTGGTGGTGCATGCCTGTAATCCCAGCTACTTGGGAGGCTGAGGTGGGAGAATCACTTGAACCCGGGAGGTGGAGGTTGCATTGAGCCAAGATTGCATCATTGCACTCCAGCCTGGGCAACGAGAGTGAAACTTCATCTCAAAAAATAATAGGGCCAGGCACAGTGTCTCACGCCTATAATCCCAGCACTTTGGGAGCCCAAGGCTACCAGGTGAATCAAGAGGTCAGCAGTTCAAGACCAGTCCGACCAACATAGTCAAACCCCATCTCTACTAAAAATATAAAAAGTTAGCCAGGTGTGGTGTGCACCTGTAATCCCAGCTACTTGGGAGGCTGAGGCAGGAGAATCACATGAACCATGGAGGCGGAGGTTACAGTGAACAGAAATCACGCCATTGTACTCCAGCACAGGCAACAGTGTGAGACTCTATCTCAAAATAATAAATAACAAAAAGATATGGCTGCTTTGTAGAGAATGGTTGGGAGGGAGAATGAGTGGATATAGGGAGGTCCAGTGGGAGGCTTCTTCAGGGTGTGGCCTGTAGCAGGGTAGATGGAGGAAGTGCCTTGTGCCATGAGGCACAGGAAGGGGATGAGGGAGGATGTCTCCCCGCCGTGGTGTGCTGGAGCTAGCTCCTACCACCTTGCAAGAGATGATTCTACACATCTCTTCTCAACTTGGCATTTAGTGTCTTCATGTTGGTAGCTAGCTTGAAACTGGCTATGGTGGGAGTCTCTGTACCATGAAAATTGGCAAACGCTCCGAAACAAGGCTTTCCCCCATCACAAAGCCAGTTGCTAAATGCTTACCAGCACATCACTGCTGCCTGCTTTCCAGCTTGTGGTGGTTTCCAGTAGGTGGTGGCTTTTTTGGCAGAGACAACACAAGTTCTGTGTTGTCCTTGTTTTTCTGAGTCATTTTAGGTGGCCAGGGACATCCACATGTCCAGGATACAGTTGGACTTTGTGACCCAGAACTCGGGGTGGGGCGAGGAGCTGAGATGGCGCCTTGGGAGTCACTGTTTAAGCAGCAGCTGTGGAATGAATGAGCTCGCCTGGGGAAAGAGTGAGAGGAGGCTCAGGACAGGGCCCTGAGGACCCCAGCAGAAATAAAGCCAGCTTCCCTGGCCCCCCACATTCCTCGGTTGTAAAGCAGACCATGGGGTGGAATGGTTTCTAGGTGTGTGCTATCAATTGGAGACCAAAAAAAGGGAAGCAATGGCTGAAGTCGCTTGTTTGATAATACCTTACTTCCGAATAGCATGTTTCGACCAGGATCTGTGTGGTGAAGAGACACAGGCCGCTGCAAATCATTGAGACTTCAAGGAGCTCCACAGGAACTCTGGGCCAAAAAACAAATGGATTAAAACTAGTGCAGGGGCCAGTTAATAGATCCAGCAGCAGATACTCAGCAACATGCTTAAAATGTTAACACGTTTCCAGAGAGAAAAGGAGAGGTTGAGGAACTGGCTCATCAGCTTCTATTCAAACGTTCCCCCCTTCCTGGCTGTACTTCAGCAAAACATTGTTTTGCCCAAGCGCCAGAGATTCTGTTGTGTTCCCCCCTTGAATGTTTGATTAGCTTGCCTGCTCTCCTGGGACTGCCGCCCGCGGTGGTCATAAGTGGCTGGCGGATTGTTTACTTGTATATCTGTTAGAGGCCACGGAGGGAGGGCCCCACAAGCGGGCTGCTCTGGCTCAGTCGCCTGCCAATCACAGCTTTACCTGGAGCGAACAGATGGTCTCTTCACTTAGACCCATTTCCTCCGTAGCTCCTGGGCCCCCTGCCAGCGTGGGCCCTGCTTGGGAACTATGTCCTAATCCTTGCAGCCAAATTAGGGACTTCTCAGAAGGACAGACCATAATAGACGAACGCAGCGATGTGTTCACAGCCCCCAGCCCATTGCCCAATCCCCGCGCAGGCCAGGCACGCGCGACGTGCTGTGTTGGACTAACTTGCATTCTCTGGCCTCGGTCCAGGGTTCGGCAACAGAAGCCGGCCTAGGAACTGGGAAAGCCAGCAGCGAGGACACCGCGCATTTTGTTTATTAAAGTTAATTGGTGAATGCAGGCCCAGGGAAGCCTATGATCATTAGCATCCTCATTAATATGCAGCTGCTGAGTATTAAGAAAAATGAAATCGAAAGGAATAAATCCCCAAAGGAGAGGTTGGAAAAATAAAGAAGCTCTCAGCAGACATCTGATACAGGTCTTTATCCTACCATGAAACTTGAATTAGCTGAATTCAAGTGCTTTTTTTTTTTTTTTTTTTTTTTACTGTTTGCTTAGCTGCGATGAAAACCGGTTCCAGCCTCATCCCTTGAGCCTTAGAAAGAAGCCGCTCTGAACCATTAGCAGCTCAAGCAGGTTGTGAACAATCACACAAAAAGAAACACCTGGTGCTCTCATTGATTTTCATTTTAGGGTCTGAAACTGTTGAGAGCATCCAGGAGAGGTTCAGACAACAAGGCAAACTGTGGGTACGAGGAGGTGTGGGAGCCCCAGTGTCAGTGCTGCATTCATTTAGATATTCAGCAAACTGATGTTTTTGGGGTGCTGAAAAACACAGATGAATAGGGTGTAGTCTGCACCCTCAAGATGCTGTGTGCTGGAGGGCACTGATATTCACAAATTGTGGCAGCTTTGTGACGAGCAAGACCACAGTGTTGTGTGAGTAGAGAAGAAAAGTTCCAAATATTCCATTACGAAGGAGGCAGGAAAGGAAAATCATTCCAGGCAAAGGCTGACACGTTTGGTGAAATTGTGGAAGGTCCCCGATTGCTGCAGATGGAGGGGCTGTAGAAATCAATAAGGCTGGGCCCAGTGGCTCACGCCTGTAATCCCAGCACTTTGGGAGGCTGAGTTCCGTGGATTACGAGGTCAGGAGTTCAAGACCAGCCTGGCTGACATGGTGAAACCCTGTCTCTACTAAAAATATAAAAATTAGCGGGGCATGGTGGTGGGTGCCTGTAATCCCAGCTACTCAGGAGGCTGAGGCAGGACAATTGCTTGAACCCAGGAGGCAAAGGTTGCAGTGAGCTGAGATCACACCACGGTGCTCCAGCCTGGGCGAGAGATCAAGACTCCATCTCAAAAAAAAAAAAAAAAGAAAAGAAATGAGTAAGGTGGTACCGGGTGCGGTGGCTCATGCCTGTAATCCCAGCAATTTGGGAGGCTGAGCTGGGTGTATCACCTGAGGCCAGGAGTTCAAGACCAGCCTAGCCAACATGGTGAAACCCCTTCCCTACTAAAAATACAAAAATGAGTCGGGCATGATAGCAGGGGAGGCTGAGATGGGAGAATCCCTTGAACCCAGGATATTGTGGTTGCAGTGAGCTGAGATCTGGCCACTGTACTTCAGCCTGGGCAGCTGAGCGAGACTCTGTCTCAAAAAAAAAAAAAAAAAAAAGCAAAAATTAACTGGGCTGGTAGTGGGTACCTGTTACCAGCTACTGGGGGAGGTTGAGGTAGGAGGATTGCTTGAACCTGGGAGGCGGAGACAGCAGTGAGCCAAGATCACACCTCTGCACTCCAGCCTGGGCAACAGAGCAAGACCCCATCTCAAAAAAAAAAAAAACCATTAAGGCTGGAAGAGAGGGTGGAGGTCAGGGCCCTGGAAGGCCTTGTATGCTATGTGAAAGAATTTAGACTTGATCTTGTGGCTGGTGGAGGACTGTTTTAGGCTGACCAACGGGAGTAGGAAATCAGATAACAGTGTAGAATATCACTAGGGACTGACACTGTGGCTCATGCTTGTAATCTCAGCACTTTGGGAAGCTGAGGCAGGATTGCTTCAGGCCAGGAGTTTGAGACCAGCCTGGACAATATAATGAGACCTCCATCTACACAGAAAAATTAAACAAAATTTAGCCAGGAGTGGCGGTGCCTGCCTGTAGTCCTAGCTACTCAGGAGGCAGAGGCAGGAGGATCATGTGAGCCTCTGTGTTCAAACTGGCAGTGATCATGCTGATGCACTCTGGCCTGGGCAATGGAGCAACCCGCCTCTTAAAAAGAAAAAAAAAGATCAGGCACAGTCCCTCATGCCTATAATCCCAGAACTTTGGGAGGCTGAGGCAGACGGATTAGTTGAGGTCAGGAGTTTGAGACTAACCTGGCCAACATGGTGAGACCCTGTTTCTACTAAAAATACAAAGATTAGCCAGCCGTGGTGGTGTGTACCTGTAGTCCCAGCTACGCAGGAGGCTAAGGCAAGAGAATGACTTGAGCTTGGGAGGCGGAGGTGGCAATGAGCTGATTTTGTACCAGTGCATTTCAGCCTGGGCAACAGAGTGAGAGTCTGCCTCAAAAACAAAATAACAAAAATTTTTTTAAAAAGAAAAATAAGGCCGGGCACGGTGGCTCACACCTGTAATCCCAGCACTTTTGGAGGCCAAGGCAGACGGATCATGAGGTCAAGAGATCAAGACCATCCTGGCCAACATGGTGAAATCCCGTCTCTACCAAAAAATACATAAATTAGCTGGGTGTGGTGGCGTGCGCCTGTAGTCCCAGCTACTAGGGAGGCTGAGGCAGGAGAATTGCTTGAACCCAGGAGGCGGAGATTGCAGTGAGCCGAGATTTCGCCACTGTACTCCAGCCTGGCGCCTTGTGACAGAGCAAGATTGTCTCGAAAAAAAAAGAAAGAAAAAGAAGTATATAAAATAAAGGTCACTATGGCCTAGTTGAGAAGTGCAAGTTCTCCACTGCTAATGAGAGAACTAGAGCAGCTAATGATGGTAGATTTAGAGAAATTAAAAAGGTAGATCAAGCTTGTAATCCCAGCACTTTGGGAGGCCTAGGCAGGCAGATCACCTGAGGTCAAGAGATTGAGACCAGCCTGATAAACATGGTGAAACGCTGTCTCTACTATAAATACAAAAATTAGCTGGGCATGGTGGCATGGGCCTGTAATCCTAGCTACTCCGGAGGCTGAGGCAGGAGAATCACATGAACCCGGGAGGTGGAGGTTGCAGTGATGTGAGGTGGCACCACTGCACTCCAGCCTGGGACACAGAGTGAGACTCCATCTCAAAAAAAAAAAAAAAAGAGGATTTTGAGACAGGATGCAGAGGGACAGAGAGAAGCCGGACTCTAGGCTTGCTGCTAAGTTTCAGGCTAGGGAACCAGTTGGCTTTTTATGTCATTCACTAAGGGAAGGGAGGATGAAATTGGGTTGCCAGGGAGATGATGCTGTTGGTTGTGCAAATGTGGAGTTTCAGATGCCTTTGAGACAGCCAAGTGGGGAGGCTGGGAGGTTGCTTAGAATGTTCTTGGGAGCTCAGGAGAGAGGCTCAGGAGAGAGGACTGGGATGACAGAATTCAGGTGATCAAATTCAAGTGTGGATGGTAATGGAAAGTACTTTTGCAAGTTATTTATTAGCAGAACATTTATTGCTTCTCTCCTGAGGGGTAGGTACTGAAGATACAAAGATGAATGAATAAGACATGGCCCTGGCCCTCCAGGAGACTAGAAGGGGAGGCCAAGGTGTAGACAGTGACACCATAGGTGCTGTGTGCACCTAACCCAGCCAAGGAACACGTTTTTTTTTTTTCTTTTTTTGGAGATGGAGTTGCCCAGGCTAGACTGCAATGGCACGATCTCAGCTCACTACAACCTCCACCTCCTGGGTTCAAGCGATTCTCCTGCCTCCTGAGTAGCTGGGATTACAGGTATGCGCCACCTGTAATCCGTTCTGTTTTTAAAGCAGAGAACAAGGCGTTGGCAGCACAACCTATATGAAGAATTTTTCTAGATTTTTATGATCTTTGTCTCAATATTAGTTATCTCCTCCATACCCAACTGAAGTTCCGTTTTATTACATTGAATATTATGAAGTTATATAACATTACATATTACTCAACATTTTTCATTGCTTAGCTTTTTAGACAGCTATCCCTCTTCTGCCACTATTTCACTGGTTAACACAATATTTGAATACATAATTACAGTTACACGTACGGTGTGGGACAACTTTGTGTGTGTGCACATTTCTTTAAATGCTTTTTTTTTGTAGGATGGAGTCTCAGTCTGTCACCCAAGCTGGAGTGCAGTGGTGCAATCTCAGCTCACTGCAACCTTCCCCTCCTGGGTTTAAGCGATTCTTCTGCCTCAGCCTCCTGAGTAGCTGGGACTACAGGCATGTGCCACCACAGCCAATTTTTGTATTTTTATTTTTATTTTATTTTATTATTATTATTTTTTTTGGGGGGACGGAGTTTCGCTCTTGTTACCCAGGCTGGAGTGCAATGGCGCGATCTCGGCTCACCGCAACCTCCGCCTCCTGGGTTCAGGCAATCCTCCTGCCTCAGCTTCCTGAGTCGCTGGGATTACAGGCATGTGCCACCATGCCCAGCTAATGTTTTGTATTTTTAGTAGAGACGGGGTTTCACCGTGTTGACCAGGATGGTCTCGATCTCTTGACCTCGTGATCCACCCGCCTCGGCCTCCCAAAGTGCTGGGATTACAGGCTTGAGCCACCGCGCCCGGCCTCAATTTTTGTATCTTTAGTATAAAGATGGGGGTTTCACCACATTAGCCAGGCTGGTCTCAAACTCCTGACCTCGTGATCCATCTGCCTCGGCCTCCCAAAGTGCCAGGATTACAGGTGTGAGCCACCTCGCCTTGCCTAAATGCTCTTTAAATATAATGCAACAGGTATTTACCTCACCTGGTGGGGGCAAAGAGGTGCAGACACACTATAGCCCCAGGCAGTCAACATCACCCAGTAGGTTGGGAAAGGGATGCAGCAGGATAGTGACAGGAAAGTCACTTAAGAAAGCATCAGCCTGGGCACAGTGGCTCACGCCTGTAATCCCAGCACCATGGGAGGCCAAGGCAGGAGGATCACTTGAGGTCAGGAGTTCTCGACTAGCCTGGCCAACATGGTGAAACCCCATCTCTACTAAGAATATGAAAATTATCTGGACGTGGTGAAGTGTTCCTGTAACCCAGCTACTCAGGAGGCTCAGGCAGAATGGCTTGAACTTGGAAGGCAGAGGCTGCAGGAGATTGCTGATTGCATCAGTCAGGCGCAGTGGCTTGTGTCTGTAATCCCAACACTTTGGGAGGCCAGAAGATTGACATCAGCCTGGACAACATTGGGAAATCTAGTCTCTATTTAAAAATTTTTAAAATTAGCTGCGAATGGTATCACGTGCTTCTAGTCCCACCTATTCAGGAGGCTGAGGTGGGAGGATCACTGGAGCCCAGGAGGTTGACACTGCAGTGAGCTATGATTGTGCTACTGTACTTTAGCCTGGGCAACAAAGCAAGACCTTGTCTCTATTAAAAAAAAAAAAAAAAAAAAAAGTAAGAAAGAAAGCATTGATACTATTATTGGTATTCCAAAGAAGTGAGTTGGTGTCATAAAACAACAGTGGGCTTTGGGGACAGATAGCTCTCCTTGGTGTGGAACTTTGGGCATATTCAGTTGTGCCTCTTGGTCTGTTATCTCAGCTGTAAAATGGGGGTGCCATTCTCATTGTTGAGGGTGTGTGTGTGAATGGAATAACCTAGGAAGCATGCCTCATGTCACCCATGGGAGGCAACACTGGTCCCCTCCTACCACGTAGCTCTTTCAGATCAGCTGCTCTTGGGAGAGTTTGGTGCTGATCTCAGCGTCCTTTACGTTGAGAAGTCAGGTTTCTTGCCCTTGTGTCGCCACCTCCAGTGCCAGTCGCCAGCTGACAGTGCTGGAAGGGAAGTCAGGACTCTACTTCTCCTCTCTCGACTCGAGCATCGACATCCTGCAGAAGAGAGCCCAGGAGCTGATCGAAAACATCAATGAGAGCAGGCAAAAGGACCACGCACTCATGACCAACTTCAGGAACAGCCTGAAGACCAAGGTGACAGACTCCTCCCAGTGTGGGGGGATTCCTTATGCAAAAGAGGAGGGAATGAGGCCGGGCGCGGTGGCTCTCGTCTGTAATCCCAGCACTTTGGGAGGCCGAGGCGGGTGGATCACGAGGTCAAGAGATCGAGACCATCCTGGTCAACATGGTGAAACCCCGTCTCTACTAAAAATACAAAAAATGAGCTGGGCATGGTGCCGCGTGCCTGCAATCCCAGCTACTCGGGAGGCTGAGGCAGGAGAATTGCCTGAACCCAGGAGGCGGAGGTTGCGGTGAGCCGAGATTGCGCCATTGCGCTCCAGCCTGGGTAACAAGAGCGAAACTCCGTCTCAAAAAAAAAAAAAAAAAAGGAGGGAATGAACCGCTGATGAATGTCTGTTGTACCAGGCATGGTGCTAGGCTATTCATACACAGCACAGGCGCTCCTCCACTTACTATGGAGTTACATCCCAGCAAACCCATTCCAAGTTGAAAATGCTGTAAGTTGGCCAGGAGTGGTGACTCAAGCCTGTAATCCAGCACTTTGGGAGGCCAAGGTGGGCAGATCATGAGTCAGGAGTTCAAGACCAGCCTGGCCAATCTAGTGAAACCCCATTTCTACTAATAACACAAAAATCAGCTGGGCATAGTGGCGTGCACCTGTAGTCCCAGCTACTCAGGAGGCTGAGGCAGGAGAATAGCTTGAACCCAGGAGGCGGAGGTTGCAGTGAGCTGAGATTGTGCCTCTGCACTTCAGCGTGGGCAACAGAGCAAGACTCTGTCTCAAAAAAAGAAAGAAAGAAAGAAAGAAAGAAAAAAAATGCTATAAGTCAAAAATAAGTTGAACCATAGTAAGCTGCGGAGCATCTGTATCTCAGTTTACCCTTAGAATAGTCCTACAGAGAAGCTACTGGACCCATCTTATAGATAAGGCTTGGAAATGGATGATTTGCATGACAAGAGAGCTAGGCTGTGGGAGTGGGCGTTAGATGTCCTCCTGCCTCCAATACCCAGCCCTCTTACTTCACAAAAGGTCCAGCAGCTATGGGAGTAGGGGGTTGAGGCACAATTTGCATTGTCACATCCGTATGTCCTGCAGAAGCCATTGAATGGTCTGTGACTGCAGAGTGTCTGTGACTGGAGAGAGGTTCTTCAACACACCCAGGGCTTATGTCTTGCGAAAGCTGGTGTTATGTTCAGGTCTTCCATGAATGGTTGTGCCTGATGCCTCTTGAGAATATAGAATGGGGGGACAGGCACAGTGGCTGACACCTGTAATCCCAGCACTTTGGGAGGCCACGGCAGGTGGACCACTTGAGGCCAGGAGTTAGCACCTGGCCAACATGGTGAAACAAAAATTGGTCAGGTGTGGTACCACGTGCCTATAGTTAGGGCAAAAAGTTAAAAAAAAAAAAAAATAGAATATAGCCGGGCATGGTGGCTCAAGCCTGTAATCCCAGCACTTTGGGAGGCCGAGGCGGGTGGATCACGAGGTCAAGAGATCGAGACCATCCTGGTCAACACGGTGAAACCCCGTCTCTACTAAAAATACAAAAAATTAGCTGGGCATGGTGGCGCGTGCCTGTAATCCCAGCTACTCAGGAGGCTGAGGCAGGAGAATTGCCTGAACCCAGGAGGCGGAGGTTGCGGTGAGCCGATATAATGGATCATGTGAGTGGCACAGCTTGTTGATTTCAGTTGTCTCAATGACACATTGACTTTATGACTTTATTTTCCTTTTTCTTTTTTTTAAATAGAGACGAGGTTTCACCATGTTGGCCAGGATGGTCTCGATCTCTTGACCTCATGATCCGCCCACCTTGGCCTCCCAAAGTACTGGGATTACAGGCGTGAGCCACTGCGCCGGCCTTTCTTTTTTCTTTTTGGTTGGCAGGCTCAAAACATTTTTTTTTTTCCTTTTTCTTTTTTTCTGAGATGGAGTCTGCTCTGTTGCCCAGGCTGGAGTGCAGTGGTGTGATCTCAGCTCACTGTAACCTCCACCTCCCAGGTTCAAGTGATTCTCTTGCCTCAGCCTCCTGAGTAGCTAGGATTATAGGCAAGCCACCACCATGCCGGGCTAATTTTTGTGTGTTTAGTAGACATGGGGTTTCACCATGTTGGCAAGCCTGGTCTCGAACTCCTGACCTCATGATCCACCCACCTTGGCCTCCCAAAGTGCTGGGATTATAGGCATGAGTCACTGTGCCGGGCTTATTTTTTATTTATTTTTTTTGATACACTACCCAGAAGCCACTTTGTTGGCTGCCTCTTCTAGTCCCTGTTCTGTGTACTTCCATCCTAACTTGGCCGAGCTTGTACTGCACAGTTCTGTGACATGTGTCCCTAGGTGACTTTGTCATCATTTGAACATCATAGAATGAATTTACACAAACCTAGATGTATAGTCTACTACACACCTAGGCTATGTGGAAGAGACTCTTGCTCCTAAGCTGCAAACCTGCATAGCATGTTACTATACTGAATACTATAGGCACTTGTAACACAATGGTAAGCATTTGTGTATCTCAATATATATAAACATAGAAAAGGTACAGTAAAAATATGGTATTATACGCTTATGGGCCATCATTGTATATATAGTCTGGCATTGGCCAAAATGTCATTATGCAGCACACAACTGTATATACTTTTGCCTCTTAAAAAAAAATGTTACCTATAGGCAGCCTTGACCCCCAGTCACTGCACTGGGTTTTGTTGTTTTTTCTTTCTTTTGAGGTAGGGTCACTCAGGCTGGAGTGCAGTGGTGCAATCATGGCTCACTGTAGCCTCCAACTCCTGGGCTCGAGCAATTTGAGGCTGGCTTCAGCCTTCCCAGTAGCTGGGACTCCGGGTGCACATCACCATGCCTTGCTAATTTGTTTTTGTTTGAGACAGTTTTGTTCTTGTTGCCCAGGCTGGAATGCAATGGCGTGATCTCGGCTCACCCCAACCTCTGCCTCCTGAGTTCACGCGATTCTCCTGCCTCAGCCTCCCAAGTAGCTGGGATCACAGGCATGTGCCACCATGCCTGGCTAATTTTGTATTTTCAGTAGAGACAAGGTTTCTCCATTTTGGTCAGGCTGGTCTCAAACTCCCGACTTCAGGTGATTCACCTGCCTCAGCCTCCCAAAGTGCTGGAATTACAGGCGTGAGCCACCACGCCGCCTTGCTGATTTTTAAATTCTTCTTTTTTTTTTTTTTTTTTTGGAGGCAGGGTTTCTCCATGTTGGCCAGGCTGGTCTCAAACTCCTGACCTCAAGTGATCCAAAGTGCTAGGATTACAGGCGTGAGCCACTGCACCCGACCTGTTTTGCCATTTTCATAATTTTTAGAACTCTAAAAAACCCACTTAATACTGATGTCTGGTGATGCCTCTTGTTTGATTTTCCAAAAATAAATCTTACTCTTTAAAAGGTTTCGGATCTGACAGAGAAATTAGAGGAGAGGATCTATCAGATTTATAATGACCACAACAAGATCATCCAGGAAAAGCTCCAGGAGTTCACCCAGAAAATGGCAAAGATCAGCCATTTGGAAACAGAGCTCAAACAAGTCTGCAACAGTGTGGAGACTGTGTACAAAGACCTGTGTCTCCAGCCTGAGGTATGACCAAACTCACCCCAGGGGTGCTGCCTGAGGAACAGAGCAGGGATGGCCCAGCCAAGAGCAAATGTGAGCAAAAACCAGGCACCCCACCCCTGAGCCCACCAGGCCACAGACCCTGCAAAGCCCTTCGTGCACTCGCCATCTTGTTTGTGGTCCCCTAATATTAGGTGTGTCTGAGCTGAGAAGCCAAACTGTTGTCATGTCCCACTGTTGTATGAGCAGCTCTATGGTGACAGAAAGGACAAAGTCCCCTGCACCCTGCCACTCAGAAACCATCCCCTCTGCCCACAGCCCTGAGCCCTGCAGCCCTGGCACAGCCTAGCACTACTAACCTGAGTTTCTTTTTTACAGCAGAGCCTAAGACTCAGACGGCCAGACCACTCTAGAGGAAAGTCCCCACCACGTCCCAGCGACTCACAGCCCCCAGACGTGTTCGTTTCTTCTGTGGCTGAAACTACTTCTCAGGTGGTTATCAGTAAACCGGCCTGACACCTTGGGGTCAGACGTGTAGCTCTTTATTTTCCTCTCCCTCACTCTACTCCAACATCCAGCATAAGGCAGTACCCCCAGGCAGGAGGCTGGGAGGGCACACTGTGAACTCGGTGTGAGGGGGTCTGCTGGAGCAGACGGAGTTGCTTCAATGTCACTCTCCTTTCAAGAGAAGCTGCTATTTCAGGGTAAATGGAGTTTGTTCTCATCCATGGTTAAAAGTGGATTGAGACACTCTACAGAGAATTCCATCTTCTTTTTAAGGAACACAGCTGAACGACTTCACAAGGGAAATTTTGATATTTAAAAATCAGTGTCTCTCACTTCCCACTCCATCCGCCACCTCCCTTTCTAAGCTCAGAGCACAGCGTTTCTGCGGTCCAACCAGGCATCGCTCCAGGAAGGGGCTTCAGAGTTTTGGGCCCCTGATGGAGAGGGCTCACTTGCTGGCCGTGAACGCCTGGATTCCTGTGATAGCTCTCCCAAGGATCAGGGCGTGAATGTCATGTGTACCTGGACAAGATTAATATAGAATCAGTTTGGAGTCTTCACAGCTCACAACTTCTCTTTAAAATCAATTTTTATGTCCCCCCAGGCCACTGTTTTAGAAGAACAGACCCACAGAGATGGTGAGTGCTGACAGCTGCCGGGAGACCCACGCCTTAGTGACTGCCTCAAGGAGAATGCTGAGAGGCCACCATTTGGGCCACACTGAGAAATTATTTTTCAATTTTCTATAATGCATCTTGGCAGGAAAAAAAAACAAAACCCAAAGCTCCTTGTGCTGAACTCCCAAAATGCAGCAAGTCTAGCCCCTGCCGTGGGCCCAGCCTTCATGCTCCCCACACTTGGCAAGTTCACTGCCACCCCTACCTCCGTTGATTAAATGTTTGATTTTCAACCTGGCCATGCTTCCTTGCACAGGCTGAAAATACCCCTGAGCTCCAGGGCAACACGACAGGCCCTTTCTTACTCTCGGGAGGGACAGCACATCAGAAATGCATTCAGTTGCCTCTGCTGACCTCTGCCCACCTAAGGTCACCCCTTCCAGAGAGTCTCACACCCCATGACCTCAGGTCTCATCCTTTGCTCCTCCATGGCTCCTTGGGGCAGAAGGCAGATTGTAGCCTCCCTTTTTAGAGCCAATTCTGTTTACTTCCTAAAGCACAAATCTATTTTTTTTAGATAGGGTTTCACTCTGTCACCCAGGTTGGAGTGCAGTGGGGTGATCATAGCTCACTGTAACCTCAAACTCCTGGGCTCAAGCAATTTTCCCACCTCAGCCTCCCAAAGTGCTGGGATTGTAGGTGTGAACCACTATGCCCAGCCCCTAAAGCACCAAATCTGACCTATCCCCCCTCTGCATAAAACCATCTCACAGCCCCCTCTGCTTGTCCTCAGGGTCATTCCCACACTTGTAGGATCCCCCTAACCCCTAGCTGCCTAATAGATCTGGGGCTGTGGGGGTGCACAGGGAAGGTACCATGCCTGCATGTGCTATCCTGTCTGGAAGCCTCTCTGCCCTGGGGTCCTCATACCTCCCTTTTTTTTTTTTGAGACAGAGTCTTGCTCTGTCGCCAGGCACCAGGCTGGAGTGCGGTGGCATGATCTTGGCTCACTGCAACCTCCACCTCCTGGGTTCAAGCAATTCTCCTGCCTCAGCCTCCTGAGTAGCTGGGACTACAGGCATGCGCCACCACACCCAGCTAATTTTTATACTTTTTAGTAGAGATGGGGTTTCACCATGTTGGCCAGGATGGTCTTAATCTCTTGACCTCGTGATCCACCTACCTTGGCGTCCCAAAGAGCTGGGGTTACAGGCATGAGCCACCGAACCCGGCCACCTTCCTCTTTTTCTGCATAGCTCACGCTGGATTTGCACTTTTATTTATTTATTTATTTTCTCTTTTTCTTTTTTTTCTTTTTCTTTCCACACTATGAAGCAATGTGATATTGATTGATTGATTGAGACTGAGTCTTGCTCTTGTTACCCAGGCTGGAGTACAGTGGCACAATCTCAGCTAACTGCAACCTCCACCTCCTGGGTTCAAGTGATTCTCCTGCCTCAGCCTTCCGAGTAGCTGGGATTACAGGCACCTGCCACCACACCTGGCTAATTTTTATATTTCTAGTAGAGATGGATACGGTTTCGCCATGTTGACCAGGCTAGTCTCAAACTCCTGACCTCGTGATCTGCCTCAGCCTCCCAAAGTGCTGGAATTATAGGTGTAAGCCACTGCACCTGGCCACAGTTTTTTTTGTGTGATGGGGTTTTACCATGTTGGTCAGGCTGGTCATGAACTCCGGACCTCAGGTGATCCGCCCGCCTTGGCCTCCAAAGTGCTTGGATTACAGGCGTGAGCCACCACGCCTGGCCACAGTTTTTTTTTTTAACAAGACGGAGTTTCGCTCTTGTTACCCAGGCTGGAGTACAATGGCGCGATCTCGGCTCACCGCAACCTCCGCCTCCTGGGTTCAGGCAATTCTCCTGCCTCAGCCTCCTGAGTAGCTGGGATTACAGGCACGCACCACCATGCCCAGCTAATTTTTTGTATTTTTAGTAGAGACGGGGTTTCACCATGTTGACCAGGATGGTCTCGATCTCTTGACCTCGTGATCCACCCGCCTCGGCCTCCCAAAGTGCTGGGATTACAGGCTTGAGCCACCGTGCCCGGCCTTAGTTTTTTGTTTCTAAGTTTCTTTTTCCACATCTGTCTTCCCACCAAGCAAGGGGTTCTGGGCCCCCATGAAAATCACCATCAGTTGCAAGGTGCAAACACCATAGTCTGAAGATGATTTTTCTTTTTCTGTTAAAATGGAGCGATGAGTCCTGCGTGTAACTTCCCTCACTCCCTCAAATCCACCAGCCTGCTAGGAGTCGGGCCTCATCCCTGGGTTGCCCTAGGAGCTTACTTGCCCAGGAACATTCCTCCTCCCGAGTATGTGGAAAAAGAGCTGGGAGCTCCTCGCAAGACCTGATGGGGCCTCCATGTGGTACATGAAGCACTTCACTTCCACAATCCCCGTGTGAGCAACTCCAGATGAGGGACAGAGGGTACAGCTTGCCCTGGGTCACACTGTCACTTGGTGATAGATGGAGTTAGACTCAGGCCTGTCCCCGTCCCACCCAGCCACTGAGGCTGCAATGGGCCCTCCGAGGTTCAGCTCCTACCTTCATAGGTGTTGACAGCCTCCAAGTTCATGGCATGCCGGATCACGTGATACTCGTCAGAAATCCCATTTCCTCCTAGCATGTCTCGGGCCTGGCGGGCGATGTCCAGGGCTTTCCCACAGTTATTCCTCTTCAGTAGAGAGACCATCTCCGGGGTGGCCCTGGGAGAGGCACATACAGGTAACAAACGTTGGGGATCCTAGCTCCCGGTGCCCCAGGCAAACCTAGCCCCAGGTGGGGATTCCCCAGTGAGGGACCCATGGGGCTGTCCCCAGCCCTGCCCACCAAGGACAAGAGGGAGAGCAGAAGGTTCGGGTCTCTGATGCAACCAGGCAGGAAGGACATTTCTCTCCAGGAAAGACACAAGGTCCTCCACCCACAGCTGCGGGCCCCCGGCCCCTACCACACAGCCCCTACTTGTCCTGGTCCTTCAAGCGGCCAAGCTGCAGGCAGGCGTGAAGGCCCAGGGTGATCTCAGTGAGCATGTCTGCCAGCTTCTTCTGAATCAGCTGGTTCCTGGCCAGCGGGACACCAAACTGAATCCTAGATGGGCAACAGCAAGGTAAGGGCAAGGGGAGGCCCATTCCCCCACTCCATCCCTGTCCTGGGGCCCCCTGCTCCAGGAAGCCTTCCCAGGCTGCCTCGGTGCCCCCGAGCCTACCCTGGCCCTGCCATTGACTCAGCCCATGGCTGCTCAGAAGGACATCACTAGTCATTCCAGAGAAGGAACTCAGGCCTGGTGGGTGGGGGGCTGGGGAGTCACCCATGGGGTAGAGAATGAAACCCAAGCTGCCCACACTCCAGGGGATCTCACTGGGACCCCCACACACCTGTCCAGGGCATACTGCCGGGCTGTGTGAAAGCAGAACTCCGAAGCTCCAAGCACACCCCATGTGATGCCATACCGGGCGTTGTTCAGGCAGCTGAAGGGACCCTGTAGGGTTGAGAGGACGCCTCAGCGCCACCCAAGAGACACCGAGAGGCCCTATGCAGAACCAACTTAAGCAGGGAAAGCTCCCTCCCCAGCCATCCACACAGGCAGACTCAGGTTGCCACTCAAGTCACAGAGGGCCCTGGCACTGAAGCTTGGTGCCTGCTTACTGGGTTTGCACACTGTCCCACCCAGCCTGGGATTGGGATTCCATGCTCAGAGCTAGGAGGCTAGGCTGATGGATGCCAGAAGATGCACTGTGAGTCAAACGACTGAGCTGGTTCAGGCCCAGGTGTCCCGGGCAGAGCCAGATGAGCAAGTCGGTCACCAAACGGGGGCAGTTTTCAGTACGTCAGTGAGTCTGGCTGAGTAAGAATCACCACTGTGTGGGCTCCACAGTGCACAGGGAGCTGGGTCCCCAGCACAGAGCCTGCCTGACAAAGGTGTACCGGCAGGTGACCCACACCCATTCCCAAAGTGGCTGCTACTCACCCCGAGGCTGGACGCACCAGGAAGCATGTTCTCTTCTGGTACCTCCACGCTGTCCATAATGATCATGCCTGTGGCCGAGGCCCGCAGTGAGAACTTGCCCTGGATCTTGGGGGCTGAGAGACCCCGCATCCCCTTCTCCAGCAGGAAGCCACGAATGCAGCCATCTTCACACCGAGCCCACACTACAAACAGGTCAGCCATAGGCGAGTTGGTGATCCTGGGGACGGAACAATCGGTGAGGGGTCTGGCCCTGTGCCCGTCCACCACCTTCCCACTGTCCAGACCCCTTACCAGGTCTTGGTCCCATTGAGGGTGTAGCTCTTGTTGGATGAGTTGTAGCGGGCTCTGGTCTCCATGCTGCTGGGGTCACTTCCGCAGTTGGGCTCTGTGAGTCCAAAGCAGCCC